AAACTGATGAATCATCCCATATTTAACTGAGATAACTTTTTATGGCCTCTGCTTTCAGACGGTCTCATGCAACATCCAATCTTCTAATTTCTGTTCCTTTTTCATCTGAAAGCGACAAACAGAACTTCTGCCTGTCTGCTTGGCGTTGTCTGCAGGAGGCTGACTCACTCTGCGAAGTTAATGCGCAGAGTCAGCTTCTTACCCCTAACTGCCCCACTAGCTCCTGCAGACATAAATCCAATGAGAAGGCAAAATGCTTGGCGTGATGTGGCTGAGGTACGGCGGATAAAACAGTCTGTTGTCAGGACGGGAATGAATGTCCCTCCTGGTTAGGCAGGACTTTGGAGCCAAACAGGGACAAAACTTCAGCAAAGAACACAAATTTAACCCAAACTTTAAAAACTTACATTTGGAGGTGTTTTTCCAAATCCCACCAGAGAATCCAAATGTTAATGAGTAATGTACGTTTCCAGCTTTTATTAGTTTTTTTTATTTCACCAACAAATGAATGCCTTTAAAAATGTTAAGTGGCATATTTATAATACATTAATTTATCCCAATAATACATTTATTAAAAAAAATGTGGTGTAAGAAAAGAGAAACAACCTGTACTGTTTGGTGCGTCTTTACGTTTGCAGTGCAGCATGTCCCGCTGGTGTCGTGTACGTTGCTAAACCACATCTTCATATTTTGTATAATAATATATTATTTCATTCTGTATTGTTGTTATTTATTTATCTAGTTGTTGCTTTTCCTCAGGTTGTATTTGTATAAGTTGAATACTTTTCATTTCAGTGAAACTTGGTGACAGTAATTTGGTCTTTTGGAGTAGATACTGGGGGTGGGATTTGAAAAGTTTTTATTAATATCCAACACAATATCAATGCCACTGTCATCAGTCCCATTCCTCATCAACACCCTTAACAATTAGAGTAGTTCAATAGGTGGCAAGTAATCAATGGCACACAATCTCCTGCACTATAACTGTCAGTTTATTTATGACGAATAATTAATTGTGCCTGTTATCAGTTGGAATTGTCTTTCCAAATGTTCTCCTTTATGTGAAGCAGAGTCATCTTCTTGTACGGTGCAGTGTTGCCAGCACACCCAACGCGTCAAAATATGACTAATCGGGATGCCCCAGCGCGTCAGGAGACGACGATCAGGGACACGCAGGGACACGTGGCTCCGCTGGCGTCAGTGTTTGACGCCCGTGGTCACACGGACATTATTCAACTGTTTAACCTTCCCTTCACCCCAATCCTAACCTTAAGGTCAGTAACTGTGACCTTAAGGTTAGGTTTGAGGTGTGGGGAAGGTTGAGTAGTTCACAAGTTGTTCTAATGTCCGTCTCCCCACCGGCGTCGGATACCGACGCTCTGGGACAGTGTGTCATCAGTGTGTCCCTGATCATCATCTTCTGATGCGCTGGGGCGTCCCGATTAGTCATATTTTGACGTGTTGGGTGTGAGAATGTGTTGCTGTTGCTGTAGCTTTTGCAAGATGAAACAAATCTCGCCACAGGTCGTACTTTTGTCTCTGGAGTCTGCTAGTGTGGAGGTGTGTAAATAAGGCTAATGACGCTAACATGATAGGCAGTGTTAGCTGATGAGTAACACGCAGTGTTAACAGGAGAGGACGTGTAAACATCACTGTTGCTGCTGCGTTTTCATTCACTAGTCTGGAGCAGGTCAAAAACACAACTTTCACTTCAAAGAGACAATGTGTAGTTTTTACCGTTAATCTCTGGAAATATCCAACAAAATGTTGTTGAAAATGAATTAAATGATGCCCAGTTGTTAATATAAATGTTGGTGGCATCGTAGCATATAAACGTAAAAAATCGGGTCTAAAATACACGGGAGCGGGTCTAAGTCTCTGGGCGACGCAAAACTAGAAGTGATGTTTCCTTCTACAGGAGCCCATGAGGACAAAACACATTTACTGATTTGTAACAACGGTTATAAAACTTTCACAGTTCGTAAAGGTTGTTTCTTCACACGTTTACTTCTTCTCTCATTGCCAGTGATGAAGGGGAGTCTGATGTGCTCGTCACTTTGGTGGAGGTTGCGCTCCCAGGGATTTTTGACCCTAATGGCCATCCGCTGCATGGTGGCGCAGTTGTTAGCACTGTTGCCTCGCAGCAGGAAGGTTGCAGGTTCGAAACTCGGCTGCGACTTTTCTGTGTGGAGTTGCATGTTTTCCACATGCATGTGTGGGTTTCCACCGGGTACTCCGGTTTCCCCCACAGATCACAACATGCCCTATAGGGTAAAAATTGTACATCGCTTTGGATGAAAGCGTCTGCCAACTAAAAACGTGAACATAAACAAAAAATATTGGTACGGTCTTACAGCTTGCTTGTACTGCCCCCTATTGCCGGAGAAAAATACACAAAGTCAGAGTGTTTCCTCTCTTTGATAAAATATTAAGTATTACAAGTTTCTCTGTTGTCATCCTTTTTTGTAAAGTATAGCTCTGAGAGTTTGTGCCACTTAGGCGCCATTTTTCTTGCTGAGTAAATGTATGGCGATGTAATTCGCGCCAACTGGAATTGATAAGGGAACCATTTGCAAACATGGAAAACGACTCCTAGGAATTGAAACAGTGGGAACCGTTTCGGAACAAGAGCCAGTTTTCGATTCCCACCCCTAGAAAATCTACAAAACTGACACATCCTTTAGATGTTTGTGAATGGCCACTGATGGTCCCTGTGTGCTGCTTGCACAAAATCGGTTTCCAGGCGACTCTTGTGTGAAAACTGGACATTTTCCCCATCAATTACTGAGCTCATCTTTTGTTTTTGTACAGCCGTTAATCGATGTCCTGTTTGATTTCAGTCTGTAGTTATGCAAACAAAAAATGCTTTTAGTACATTGTTTTAAGCAAATGATCTGGTAACCTGCCTGCGGCGTGTTCTCGAGTCCTACAACTCCCAACACAAAGTCATTCACCCATTCACACACTGATGGTGATTAGCTACATCATAGCCAGGTGCCTCCGAACACCCCCAGCAGGCTGAAGTGTCTTGCCCAAGGAAATGACGACTGAGCGGGGCTCCAACCAGTCACCCTCTAGTTACAGGGAGGCCACTTAACTCCTCCACCACCGTCTCCCATAGCTGAAACAATTAAAAACGTTTGACAACAGTTTGGTGCCTGTTCACAAATCAAAGTGGAAAAAATAGAAGAAAATAATCATAAAAGGTGGTTAAACTTTCAGATAAATCACAAACAGCATTCATTATTCTGAGGAATGTTTCCTAAGAGGAAGTTAGGGTAGAAGCTCACTCACTCGTGCGGTTGTGTTTTGAAAAATGCTACAGGAATGTGCCACCAGATTTAACCCCCTCAGGCTCAAAGTAAGTTTTGATAAAAGGACGAACAACTAAGTCCTTCAGGGATACTTCTGAGTTGTAAAATGCTCATGAAACACGTGTGTGGAGTAACCAGGTAGGTAGGTTTCAACGTTGCAAGTCTGAAATGCCTGCCTCCAGAGGGTTAAACAATATGTGCAGGAGGAGAGTGTGTGAACAAACCTTATTAGGACAAAAATCTGTCATTGTCAAAGGATCACTCGGGAGAATAATCTTCATGGATAACACACTGACTTCTAAACAGTAAATAAACTGAATCATGGTGAAAACTAAAAAGATAAAAAGAAGAAAAAAAGGTAAATAGTCTTTCAGAGACTGAAAGTAAAGCAGCAAAGTGTAAAAATGCTAGAATGCTCATTGTTTGCTGGAATCAGCTCAAAGTTAAAACTCTCACAAACACTTCCTGACTTTCTCCGATTGCCAGATTGCTCTGAGTCTTGGCGATGTCGCACTCACATGTTTGAGTGTGCATGCTTTCTGAGGATTCCTGACATCTGCCTGCCGTGTCTGCGGCATTTCCTTATATAGGCAGAAGGATCATTACTCGATGCATGCTTTATCGCAAGCCCTCTTCAAACATCTCAGCTCTGGCTGCAGACACAAAACAGGGAGTCAGAAGCTCCTTGATTTTCTGCAGCTCTTAGCTTTAAACCTGCTTGTAAAGAGAATCCCTGGAAGGTCTTTAGACCCCAGCCTGAGCCAGTACTCAAGCTTGGATTTTGCTCCCAGTCAAGCTGACATTGTGTTATTGTGCCTTGGTGAGGAGGAAACTTCTGTGGCGATGTCAAAATTCATCCCCGAAGCTTCCCTGAGGGGCAGCAGGGTTCGGGTTCAGCTCCACTGCCTGAGCTAATGTAGGTCTGTCGTCTGAAATCCTGCTCCAATGGTTTGTGGCCAGCCACCTGCCCATTCTGCTGGTTTGCATGTTCCGCCTGCAGCGCTGATCTAACCTACATATGCAACTTGTCCTTCTTCCAAAACGGCATGTACAAGTCTGTCGGTTAGCTCCCAACCGGAAGAAGGTAACTAAGTTAACCCAATCCTGAAAACTGCACCTCACCCAGAAGAAGTCTCAGTAAGAGGATTTATTTCTTCTGAAAGAGATAGGCTGTTAAATGAAATGTGTGCATGGCTGCGTGTGTGTGTGTGTGTGTGTGTATTTGATGATAGAAAATTCCCTATTTGGATTATGTCCCCTCCTTCTCGGTGCTGCTTGACGGTATTTTTAATACTGATATCCTCTTTCCAGTCTGTTCCATCCTCTAATTCCCCCTAAAAGTCCAAACTAGACAGCTACCTCTCTGAGCAGGGAGCTGAATTCAGTGTGTGTGTGTGTGTGTGTGTGTGTGTGTGTGTGTGTGTGTGTGTGTGTGTGTGTGTGTGTGTGTGTGTGTGTGTGAGAGAGAGTAGCAAGGAGCTATAGAGCAAATTGCAATGATTACTTGAACTTGGAGAACATTTTAATTAATACAATTATTGTGTCACCCCTTTAAACACGCAGGACTAATGCGGTTTCCGCTGGGATTAAAGTCTTACTAGAGACGTTTGGACAAATCTTAGAACTTCCACCATGCAGAAACTCACTGTTTTTCTCTCTCCTCTTGTTTCTTTTTCTGTTTTCCAGAGTCTGTGAGCAAGTGACAGTGAGACACTGTCTGCCCCACTGTCCAGTGACACCATGAGCTGGAGCTTCCTCACACGGCTGCTGGAGGAGATCCACAACCACTCCACCTTCGTGGGGAAGCTGTGGCTCACCGTGCTCATCGTCTTCCGTATTGTTCTCACCGCCGTTGGGGGAGAGTCCATCTACTACGATGAACAGAGCAAGTTTGTCTGCAACTCTGGTCAGCCGGGCTGTGAGAACGTGTGCTACGACGCCTTCGCCCCTTTGTCTCATGTCCGTTTCTGGGTCTTCCAGATCATCCTCGTTGCCATGCCCTCTCTCATTTACATGGGCTACGCCGTCAACAAGATTGCACGACTAGACGAATCAAAAGGGGGGGTTGGATCTGCCGCTGTCAGAACAGGAGGAGGGAGCTACACACACAGAAAACCCAGGAAAATCTGCTTTGGAGCCCGACAGCACAAAAGCATCGAGGAGACCGAGGAGGACCAGGAGGACGATCCTATGATCTATGAGGTGCCAGAAATTGAACCACCAAAAAGGCCTCGAGATCCACTGCAGCCAATGCCCAGACCCAAAATCCGTCACGATGGGCGCACGCGTATCCGAGACGAAGGACTGATGCGGGTTTATGCTATGCAGCTGGTGACTCGGACTGTTCTAGAGGCGGGCTTCCTGGCAGGGCAGTACCTGCTGTATGGTTTCCGTGTGAAACCAGTCTTCGTGTGCTCTGGAAAACCTTGCCCTCACAGTGTTGACTGCTTTGTGTCCCGGCCAACGGAGAAAACCATCTTCCTGCGCATCATGTATGGTGTTACTGTCCTTTGCCTCACCCTCAATGTCTGGGAGATGCTTCATTTGGGAATAGGTTCCATCTGCGACCTTATCCGCCGTCGGCGATGCCCGCCTCAGGACGACGAGTTCCAACTGGGTTTGTTGAGCAGTAACAGTGGTGTGGAGGGCTCTGTGGGGGGGACTGGGCCTGAGGCAGGCTCTGAAGGTGGCGTGGGTGGAGATGGTGCTGCAGATTATGTTGGATACCCATTCTCATGGAACACCCCATCAGCCCCACCGGGGTACAACATCGTCGTGAAGCCAGAACAGATGCCCTACACGGACCTTAGCAATGCTAAGATAGCATGCAAGCAGAACCGGGCCAACATTGCTCAGGAGGAGCAGCAGCAGTTTGGTAGCAATGAGGACAATTTCCCCACGGGAGGAGAAGCCCGCGTGGCTCTCAATAAGGACATGATCCAGCAAGCTCACGAGCAACTGGAAGCAGCCATCCAGGCCTATAGCCAGCAGCATCGGACCGAGGAGCAACTTGAAGAGACTCAGGATGACAAGCCTCAGAGTAACATCATCCAAGCCCAACCACAGCCACATCCTCATCCTCAGAAAGAGCGCAAACACAGAGTGAAGCACGGGAAGGGGGGCAGTAGTGGAGGAGGCAGCAGCAGCAACAGCAGCAGCAGTAAATCTGGAGAGGGCAAGCCCTCCGTATGGATCTGAACAAACGGTGACGTGGGTCGTCAAAGTCTGTATATATCAGAGATTGGATGAGAAACTGTTGCAGTGTTCCTCGACATTTCAGTGCCGCTGTGCCTTAAAGAATCCTGCAAGCTGGAGAACATGTGCTTAGAGGTGTGCAAAAATACGATCAAGTGATGTTGCAGCGGACAATTTATTTTGTCTGGGCCATCGCTGTTTAGTCATCACACCTAAAGTCTGTAGTTTACAAGTCTGGCTCTTCTCCTGTCTGAAAGCAGATTGCTGACCCGTTTCTAGAGAAAAACTGAACCGAGTCACTCCTGACAAGAGGCTGATCCGGGACTTCCGTTTGCCAAAGCAATGACACCACTCGGCTAAGACAGAAACAAGTTGAAAAACAAAATGAGAATCAGAGGCAGCGCTTGAAGTAGTGACGTTTTACTTCCCTCCTAAAGGTCCCGTCAGTCATGAACTTTCTTTTCAAAGTGTTCTATGCTTCAACAGTTTTTTCCTTTCGATGAAAGTGCTACACCAGCCGCTGCTCAGGAACCGGAGTACAGCGGCTGGATCTCAACGTTTCCTCCGATTTGACTCTTTTCGTGCCTTTTTATTTAAACATTTGACTCCTTACACATTATTCTTCTCGGCTTTTCATCTGTGTTGTTTGTGGTAGTTGGACCAGAACTCTTGTTCCATCTGCCTTGTAGCAGACTGCCCCCTGGTGGCATTTCCTGTGCGGTGTATGGATGCTACCTACAACAGCTGTAGTGTTTTACATTGACTCGCGTCACCTATGTCTTCCCAAAGTTCAGTGTTAGATGCACAAAGCTGCAATATCAACATGTTGTAATGGAACAAGTTAAAGCCATTACTTTTAAAAAGTGAGACCAAACACTGTTTGTGTGATGCAAGTGTCAGTGCCAAGATTTTACACCAAGCTGCCACGAAGCTTGGTTGTGTGTAGCTCTGGAATACCGTGGCCATGCTACTCCAGCCGTGGAGCTGTGTCCACGTCACAACAACCCTTTTGTAAAAGTCACTTTTTTCCTTTTTTGAAATAAAGAACTCCAAAACGGAGTCAGCTTTCATGTTCAAGCCGGTGTTTTATATGAAAAAAAATCTGGTTTTCAATAAAGTTCTTTTATAAAAAATAAAAAAAGTGAGGACTAACTGTGTGAATATTTATGGTCATTGTGATTTAAATTGCCTTCTAAATGTAAAAAATGTGAAATATGACATAGTATATTTTTATATGATGTCAGAGACCAGAAAACGTTTCCTTGTGTGTTGAAGTTTCAGTATTTAATGTATGTAGCAACCTTCTGGACTGAGTTTTAATAAACGGTTTTGCTCCTTTTTAAACATTGTTCTGACCAGTTCTCTCTCTCTCTCTCTCTCTCTGTGTGTGTGTGTGTGTGTGTGTGTGTGTGTGTGTGTGTGTGTGTGTGTGTGTGTGTGTGTGGCCCCAAGCAAAAATAATTGATGTCCGATGCAGACAAGGAAGCGCTGTTTCTCTGTCTAATTCCAAGGGGGGTCGCGGTGCGTACAAGGTTTTCCATCGGAGCGGGAGGGTGAGGTGGGATGAGGAAGTTATTGAAAAGGAAGTGTGAGGCCGGTCTCAGGCTGGGGAATTTGGATGCGGGGAGGGCACTATCGAAGGGTGTGAGAGGGAACCCTCAGTGTGTACATGACAGCTTTTCACTGTCTCACCTTGCAGTTGCCGTTGCGGTTCTGACTTGTTTCACACTTTGTGGACCCTCTGCAGACCCCTTGTGGTCTGGGGGCCCCAAACAATTGCCTGCCCTACCTGTCCAAACAAAGCTGTCCTCTAAAGAAGCTTTCAAAACAGGCAGTTTTCTTTTACATATAATGAAAAAAGAAGAAATGTGGAAAATAGGGTTCTCTATTGTTGAATTAAATTTGAAGGAGATTTCCTGGACTGTTGGTGAAGTCGTGACGCCGTGCAGCAGCTTATGCAGAAAGGCTCTAGTGAGTCGAGTCAGCACCAGACAGGTATAAATCAACACAAGTGGGTTAGTCAGCTGTTCCTAAATGAGCCGATGGATGGAGCTCTGACCACCAAGTCACAGGTGATTTGCTGAGTTCTTTCTTCACCGTCAAGCCTCTTCCTCTGAAGACCAATCAGGCCTCATTAAAGCCCTCTGCAGCAAGCCAAGTTTCCCTGCCACAGTATTGACTGTAGTTTGAAGAGAAGGAAACAGAATAATAAATTGTAGGCAGCTGGTGACTCTCAGCAAACAGATTCAGCCGAGGCCATGTGAGGACAGATTCCTGTCAAAGGAGGGAGTGCTTCAGAAAGAGAGGAAAGGGCATCGAGACGAGGCACCGTGAGGGTACTCAGAAACCCCATCTGCTCTATTCTGCATGACTGGCAGCTTGGCCTCGCATCTTCAGAACTATTTTAGGTTCTTCAGCCCGGGCTTTATGAGAAAGTGTAGGATCTGGGCAGCTATCCAGGTCAGAAGATTTACCCTGCAGCTCAGTTATGTGGCGGTCCCTGTTTTTTTTCCATTTGTTTTGAGTAGCACAAAAAGAAGAGAAGAACAGAAAGTACCCTTGCTGTTTAATGGCTTTCATATCAGAGCTGCTTTATTCCTGTATTTTGTCTCTGTCCTGCAATGTTATCAAAGTGTCTCAAAGATGTTTAAGGCAATAAATAAACAAACAAACAAACAAACAAACTGTCCTGTTTGCTGAAAAAGTCTAGGTTGATAACACTTTATAATGATTTATGCAGTGCTTTTGTCTTCATGTGGATCTGTGTTGATGTCAAAATTAATCACAAGAAGGACCTGATTAGTAATCAAACAGAGATTCTAAATTAAACCCTAAATGGGGCCTTGACTTTTAATTCTTCCCACTTTTGAGTATTTGATGATATAAACTAGCTTCCTTAAAGAGGTCCTTCACTGAGAAACCATTTATATTTATTATTTTTACAATGATCAGACACTGTGTTTTTCATGCAGGCTGAACACAAAACTAGTCTCCTACACCTATCTCCTGCATTACCTTCTGATAGAAGATGATAAAACTCTAGGATTTGAAAATCCTGTCACTTAAGAGTCGTGGACTCACCAATCTTGGCTCACGACGGGGAAGGCTAGCAGAGAACGTCTCAACTAGTAGGAGCTAATGTTAGCATTAGCATATCCACCACGCAGCAGAACTCCTTTAGCCTTGTGTTACTTGTGGGAATAAAACATCAGCGTTGCAAAGCAAATAAATCCATTGGTAGAGTCACGTTGCTGTTTTTCAATTAGAGGTGAGATGACCATTTATCAGGAAATAAGACTCCAAACCTGTCGTCTGAAGCTACTTTCTCTTCTGGCTGAATTCTCCATGCTGAAACGGGTGCACCGGAGCTTTTTACCCCCAGAGTGCAACTTACAAGGCATGAACTCCTACTAGATGTCACGCGGTGAGTTGGGGGAGGTCAGGACCCAAGATTCAGACCCAGGATGACACAAGGCAGGAGTAGTGAAAATGTAAAAATCCTTTATTTAGAGGTAAATCCAAAGGGCCAGAAGCCAAAAGCCAAAACTCCAAAAATCAAAGAATCAAAACCCTGGGAATATCCCAAAACACAAGAGATCTATAGAAATTCCAAATACCTAGAGGGGGCGAGACAACGCTGACACAAATAATGGACCAACAACCACACTGAGGCCTAGTCCACATGTAGCCGGGTTTTTTTGAAAACGAATATCCGCCCCTCCAAAAACTTGCATCCACACCACCACGTTTTAAAACAAAACTCTGTCCACACGTACCCGGATAAATACGTTGTTAAGGACATGCCAGACCTGTAGGCGGCAGTACTTCCCCCGTTCTTAACCTCATCCTTCGTCTGTGGTCTTCCGCAAGGAGCAGTAATTCCGCTTGCAAAAACAAACAAGCAGAAAGCGCTTGGACAATTGATAAAGCGAGCGCAGCTCTGAGGGCATCCATGCTGTCGGCTAGTGTGAACACAGGTCGCACACGTGATGTCAGCATTTTTTGTCGCGGAAAGTGACGTTGCGGACCTCAAAACTCAGGTTTTGTCTGTCCACACGCAGACACCCAAAACGGAGAAAATGCAGATCTTCACTTTGGCCGGAAATTTTAAAAAGATCTGTTTTCGTGTGAAAAAACTCAGTTTTCGTGTGGATGACAGGCCAAAACGTAGAAAAATATCTACGTTTTGGCAGATCCCCGGCTACGTGTGGACAGGGCCTGAGATGCAAACAGGGTTATATACACAAGGGCTGGGTGATTAGGGAATTGTGCACAGGTGAGACCATTTACAGAGGAGGAGCACAACGGAGCAGGGGAGGAAACCAGACCTAAAAATGGGGAAGGGATCAAAATGAACTAGAGGGAGAAAACAGACTAGATAAAACACTTAACAGAAGACTAATGATAAAAGGTGTCTAAGGAAAAACGTAAAGGAAGCCTAGAGAGCCTGGAGGGGGTTGGGGACACACCGGGACGCTGAAACCTGGGGGGAACACCTAAGGGGAAAAAACCTGGAGTGGCCTGGGAACACAAGGAGGCACGAGGAGGGATGCAGACAAGGAGACACATAAGGGAAACCTAGAGAGGGAGACGCAGGACGCAGACCCTGACAATAGAGACCAATGAAACTGTATTTAAATATGAGTGAAAGGACCTCTTGAAATATTTATTCCTTTAGGCTGGAATAATCTTTTTTATAATACAAAACAAATACAGAAGAAGTTTGTGTTTTCATGAAACAGTGTGTCAGTAGAATTAATGACTAAAGCAGACAATTCAGATCCAGCTGAAGCTACAGGAATGTCTTAAGGGATGAAACACTCAGGCTCAACATGATCTAATAGCTCAAAAGTCAACATGTTACATAATGTGAGCATATGTTTCCAGTGGAAACAGCGGACATATGATCACCTACTTCTGAGGAGTCTCATCCGTTCCTCTGCACGGATGGCTGGTTATTTATGGTGACATGCAGGAATTAGACTTCCAGAGACCAACATCAGAGTCAGCAGGATTATTTTTGATCAAAGTGTAATTAATTAAATAAGAGTCAAAAATGAGTTTGACTAAATTAAGCACAAGAACAACAAATGAAATGTTGAAAAAAGGTTGATCGGGATCTGAAAACAAATAAAAGAAATTGTCATGTTCTGTGTCCCCTTGTTCCCCAGCCCCTCCAGTTCCCACTCCAGGTTTTACCTCTTGTGTCCCATTATTATCCCCAGCCCTCTATAGACTTCCCTCAGGTGTCTTTCTAATCATTCCCCCTTCCTAATCAATCTTTATTTAGTCCTCCTCATCCGTCTAGTTATTAGTTGTGTATTTTTGGCCCTCAGTCTTTAGGTTTAGTTTTGTGTTTTATAGTTTTAGGTTTATCTGCCCTCCTCTGGTTCTGTTCCCCATTTAGATAATATTATGCACCTGCTTTCCCTCCAGCCTTCACTCCACACACCTGCTGCCTGTTTCCCTAATTGCTCCTCTGTGTGTATATCAGCCTTGTCTTGTCATTCAGTGTTTGTTGGTCCATTGAATTCGTCAGCGTGTTTCTGTCCTCCTCGTGTCCTCCTGTTCCGTCCCCACGAATTAGTTTTCTGTTTGTTCTGGTAAGGTTTATGTTTGGTTCGTTTAAGTGCCCTTTTGGATTTTGGCACCTCCTCCTTTAAAATAAAAGATTATTTTTTCTTTGGAAACTCCTCCTGCCTCGAGTCGTTCTGGGTTCTGCATTTTGGTTTCCACCTCCTCCGTCTTGACCGTGACAGAAATGTCAGATGAGCTGATCTTTAGGTTCCCCAAAGCTAGCTCACTAGCTTCTTTTCATGCAGGTTTTCCTGTCATTTCTAATTAATTTGAGTCTCCCTTCGTTTTCATTTTTGTTTTAATTAGGATTTTATTATTGTATTTCAACTTTAATTTTATTCTAATAATGTTTATTGTGCATGTGAAATGCCTAATGATTTTTATTTTCAAAAGTGCTAATCTTCTCATCTTCTTGCCAGAAAGCAAAACATTAATGAACGAAGACAGCGAGATATTTTAGACACCTGGGATCTCATTTATGAAACATGGCGTAGAATCCTTACTAAAATCGTACTTTAGCTCAGCAAAAAAAAAAAAAAAGAACTTACGCCAAGTAGGTTTGTGATCTATAAAACATGGAGTACGCACAGCTTCACACAATCTCCTCTTTATGAATCGGAGACTAACGGGAAATGTTCACAGGTGTTTCTGAATCTCATCCCGCCCTCACCATGCCCACTTTCTGCCATAAATAGTCAATGCAAAGTGCCTTGTGGATCTCATGCATATACATAAGCCGGCTCATTGCAGCATTTCACCATTAACAATGGC